AACCACTTTGCGACCCACATTGCGACCCACATTGCGACCCATATTGCGACCCACTTTGCGACCCACATTGCGACCCACATTGCAACCCATATTGCGACCCACATTGCGCCCCATATTGCGACCCACATTGCGACCTACTTTGCCACCCACATCACGACCCATATTGCGACCCACTTTGCGACCCACATCGCGACCCATATTGCGACCCACTTAGCGACCCACTTTGCGACCCACTTTGCAACCCACATTACGACCAACATTGCGACCCACATTGCGACCCACTTTGCGATCCACATCGCGACCTACATTGCGACCCACTTTGCGACCCACTTTGCGACCCACACTGTGACCCTGTTCTTCTGAGTACTCATCCTACTCAAAGTGAATGAAGGAGACTGTGTTCAGCAATTAGTATCGAGAAGGTTGGACGCCTTTCTACATAACACAAATTAAGGTCGAATGGTTGCCATTTCAACTGTAATATTATGAGACTTTGCCACCATTCTAATACTACACTTAAATCCCTAAAGTCTAGGTACCATAGCGAAGAGTTAATTCGATTAATTACAATAAAAGTATTGAAAAGGCACTTTGAGTCAAGATTACGATTGTGGTAAAGTGATCGATTCCAAAATGTTAGGTCGGGTCCAATGAAATTGCAAATCCCTCTTTGGATTTTGTCAAGAATCTCTAAATATATAGCTAGAACACCAGACAAGATATGGCAGCAACATTCAAAGCAAGGACGAATTGTAGACTTATAAATATGTAAGAATTATTCTGGTGAGAAAACGGGTCTAGCACGTAAACGTGAGTCAGACAAGATGCAACAATTCACTCTCTTGGAGGTGAGCATTAGCCAATCTCAAGGAAGGTAAATGTACTTCTTTCAGACGATATAAAATCATGACTCGTGTTTTTCGGTTAATGTTACGGTTTTGTAACGATTTGCAGTGTTGTATTAAACTACCCTAGCGCGGCCTAATTTGTGTTGAATCTATTGGTTTCTAAATTTGTTATAACTTATAGGTTCGGATAGATGTGGTGATTATTTTAAAATGTGATAAAATGTTTGTTGTCCGTGGCAATAATATTCAAAGTGTTAGAACGCTTGTATAAGTTCATAGTTCTGGCTAATAATATTGTAAGGAAAACCCTGGAACGAAAGGTTAATGAAGAAAAGGTTTAATCACACGAGGGACGTGGATTAATAATACAATACTAGCGAATACCGTAGTTCAGTGCGGCAATGCGTGCGACTCAACGCTATGCGTTGCGAGTCACTTTGCAACATTGTTCCTGTCAGGACACCTCCTACTCATAGTGAATGAAAGAGTCTATGTTCATCAATTAATATAGAGATAATAGATCGCGTTTCTTACTAAGCAACAAAATGCTAAGACAAATGATAGGCTTAAAAATATATGCGATAGATTCCAGAGAGAAAAATTGTCTAGCATGACACAGTGAATCAACATTTCTGGCAGCAGATCTAGCAATGGATTCAATATAATCTTTCCACTCCATGTCAGCGGAGAACTTTTCTTCTGCGAAGGAGCAATGAGTTATTCTCCTAGAACGAATGAAATCAGGGAGGAAGAAAACGGTATGCTACACTAATAGTGAGAAAGGTCGCCTGTTATTCACGGTGAACATTTTCTTTGATCAGAAAGATCAAAGGCCGGAAAGGTTTGGGAAGAATGGTATCTTAAAGGTGGCTGAAAGATGGCAGAAGTGATTCAGTGCAGCAATGCGTGCGACTCAACGCTATGCGTTGCTGCCCACTTTATGTTGCTTTTCCTCGTCTTTCTCATAGTGAATGGAAAAGTCTATGTTCAGCAATTAGTATAGAGAAGGTCGGTCGTCATTTTACATAACACAAAGCAAGGACGAATGGTAGACTTATAAATATGGAAGATATATTCTTGCACGTCATACTGGAATAACTTTCCTAGCTGTAGAGTTAGCAATTGATTCAATATATTGTTTCCACTTCATATCAGCGAAAAACATTAGTCCGAGAAGTAGCAATGAGTTAATTTCTTGAAGGTTAGCATCAGCCATGCTGATGGAATTTAAAAATTGTTATCTCAGACGATTTAAGAACATGACTCGAATTTTTAGTCTAATGTTTCCGTTGTGTAACAATTTGCGGTCTTGTACGGAACTAAACTATCCCAGTCTATTTTATGTTCAGTTTAATTGTTTAACGTACTAAATTTGATAAATATTAGGTTCCGGATTCCGAATTCTTTTGTAAAATTTGATAAAATGGTTGTTGTCTGTTACCGGAGGCACATAGCGACCCCATAGAATTTTATTCCTTTATTTGTTTGGCCGTTTTTCTCTACAAATTCCTCATTTTGATGAACTCATTCGTGTGGAACAAAACGCAACTGAAAAGCCCACTCTAAATTCATTGAGGTAGTCAAAGTATGACGAAATCTGATGCAGTAAACGTCGAAATGGTGCTTCTGATTTTCGTTCCCTCTCAAAGACAATGGTTAATTTTCTGATTCTTCGTTCTTCATTTTTCTTTTATTTGTATTATCATCTTCATTATTTATTTATTTATTTTTCAGGGTTGGGGCGGCACTTTTTAATTCTCTCATCTTTATTGTGTTTACTGTTGCCGACGCCACCGCCGCCGTCGACACCAACACCGCTTCCGCCGTCACCTTCATCGCAACGCTGGAGGAAATTAAATCACCATCACCATAATCATTCTCATCATCTCAGTGAGTTCGCTCTTTTTTTTTTTTTCTTTTTCCCGGTGCAATTATTTCCCGCCTTTTGCTAAGTTACCATCTCTCTCTCTCTCGCTTTTCTCTCTCTCTCTCTCTTTCGCCATCTTATCTCTCTCATTCTCTCTTTTCTTTTCCCTCTTACTCTTTCTCCCACTCTTTCTATTTGTCTTTTCTCTCTTACTTTTTCTTTCTTACTCTCTTTCTCTCTCGCTTTTCACACTTTCTTTTCTCTTCCTATTTCCCTCACACTCTTTCTTTCTCATTCTCTCTTTATTTCTCTCTCTTTTTCTGTCTCTTTCTCTCTCACTCTTTCTTTCTTTCTCTTTTTCTGTTTTCTCTATATTTCTCTCTCTTCTAGTTTTTTGTTCTTTTTTCTTCTTTCTGTTTTATTGTATTTTCTTCTTCACCTGTTCTTTTTTTCTTCCTCTTTCTTTAAAAATTTGAAAATCTTTCTTCCAATTTTTCTTTTCTTGCATTTTAAGCCGCTCATTATTCTTTCGATATCTCGTTTCATCTTCTTCTTCTTCTTCTTCTTCTTCTTCTTCTTCTTCTTCTTCTTCTTCTTCTTCTTCTTCGTGGCGTTTGTCTTTTTCTAATATTTTTTCAATTGTAGTCGCATTAAGTTCTTTTTCGCTTTTGCTTTCTTTTGCTACTTACATTTTTTTAAAATTCTCTTTCTTCTTCTTCACCACTTTCTCCCTTTTTTTCTTCTTCTTTTTGTATTTTTCTTAACCATTTTCTTCCTCTTTCTAGGTATTTTCCTTTAGATTTTATCTCTTTTTCGACTTTTTTCTATACATGTATTTTTATATCTCTCATTATTCATTAGAGAACGCCTTTCTTCTCTTCTTCTTCTTCATCATCATCTTCTTCTTCTCATCCTCCTCCTCCTTCCGCTTTTTCATCCTCCTTCTTCCACCACTTCTTTTTTTGTTCTTCTTCCTCTTCTCCTTCTTCCTTCTTTCTTCCTCCCGTACTTCTTTATCTTGTTCTTATTCATCTCCTCCTCCTCTTCTTTTTCTTCTCGTTCTTCTTCTTCACTTGCTCTTCTTCTTCTTCTTCTTTTTCTTCTTCTTCTTCTTCTTTTTCTTCTTTTTCTTCTTCTTCTTCTTCCTTTTTCAAGGGATTTTCCTTAAAATATTCTCTTTTTTCAACTTTGCCTTTTATTGTATATATAAAAATCTCAATCCGTGTTGCTAATTTTTCTTTAATTGCTCTCCCCTTTATGTGCTCTCCCTTTTGTCTGCTCTCCCCTTTATGTGCTCTCCTCTTTATGTGCTCTCCCTTTTGTCTGCTCTCCCCTTTATGTGCTCTCCCTTTATGTGCTCTCCTTTTAAATGCTCTCCTTTTATGTGCTCTCCCCTTTAGGTGCTCTCCCCTTTATGTGCTCTCCCTTTTGTCTGCTCTCCCCTTTATGTGCTCTCCTCTTTATGTGCTCTCCCTTTTAAATGCTCTCCCTTTTATGTGCTCTCCCCTTTAGGTGCTCTCCCCTTTATGTGCTCTCCCTTTTGTCTGCTCTCCCCTTTATGTGCTCTCCCCCTCTATGTGCTCTCCGCTTTATGTGCTCTCCCTTTTTTTCTAACGTTTATACAATCTTGTCTTTTTTTCTATTTCTCTTCGTTGTTTTTTCTTCTTCTCCTGATACTTTTTTACATCCTTCTTTCCCTTTTGTTTTCCCTCTTTTCATCTACTCATTTCTTTCTATGCTTTTCTTCTCATCATCAACGTCTGTTGATTGTCTTTTCCTCTTTCTCCTCCTCCTCCTCCTTCTTCTTCTTCTTCTTCTAAATATTTTTATCCCCACTCTCAACTTCTATTCTTCTCTCTCTTTTGCTGCTGTCCCTCCCCTCCCACTCCTCTGACACATTTTTCTTTTTTCCTTTCTTTTGAAATTTTACTTTTTTTTTTTCCTATCGCTTTCATTTCTTCATATTCAGTTTATTTCCCAGAAAAGTGGAAAAGCATAAAGAAAAGAGAGGAGTCAAATAAACACCAAAGAAAGAAAAAAAGAAAGAAAAAAGGTGATCAATAATAATAATAATAATAATAATAATAATAATAATGAGAAGAAGAAGAAGGGTAGCAATAAAAATAAGAGGGAGAAGAAAAAAGGGGAACAATAATAGTAATTATAATAATGAGGAGAAGGAGAAGAAAAAAGAAAGAGGAGGAGGAGGAGAGCAATAATAGTAATGAGAAGACTAATAAGGGGAGCAATAATAATAATAATAAGTAGAAGAATAAGGGTGCAATAATAATAATAATGAGAAGAACAAGAAGAAGAAGAAGAATGGGATCAATAATAATAATAATAATAATAATGAGAAGAAAGGAAGGGAAGCAATAATAATAATAATAATAATAATAATAATGAAAAGAAGAAGAAAAAGGGATCAATAATAATAACAATAATAATGATAATGAGAAGAAAAGAAAAGAAGCAATAATAATAATAATTATTATTATTTTAATGAGAAGAAGAAGAACAAGAAGAGGAAAAGAAATAATAATAATGAGAAAAAGAAGGGGGCAATAATAATAATAATAATAATAATAATAATAGTAATAATAATAATAATAATGAAAAGAAGAATAAGGGGAGCAATAATAATAATAATGGGAAAAAGAAGAAGAAGAAGAAAATGAAAAAGGCTGCAACAATAATAAGTATCGATGATAATAATAAGTATGAGAAGAAGAAGGGGAGGAATAATAATAATGATAATAATGATGGGAAGGAAAGAAGGTAGCAGTAATAATAATGATAATAATGATGGGAAGGAAAGAAGGTAGCAATAATAATAATGATAATAATGATGGGAAGGAAAGAAGGTAGCAATAATAATAATGATAATAAGAAGAAGAAAAAAGGGGAGCGATAATAATTATAATAATGAGAAGAAGAACAAGAAGGGGAGCAATAATAATAAGCAGAAGAACAAAAAGGGGAGAAATAATAATAATAATAATAATAATAATAATAATAATAATAATAATGAGAAGAAGAAGAAGAAGAAAGGGTGCAATAATCATAATAATAATAATTATAATAAAGAGAAGAGGACAACAACAACAACAACAATAATAATAATAATAATAATAATAATAATAATGAGGATGACGAGAACAAAAGAAGTGTTGAAACACAAACTACAGTTAAAGGCACAGAGAAGAAGACGATACGAAAATCATTGCAGGTTCTATCGCCAAAATAAGATATTCCAAACTGACCTCAAGAAATTTTACAGGGAAATTGGAAATGCAACTATACATGTCGAAACGCCACCTTCGATTGAAAATATACTGACATTTTGGGAGAATATTTGGAGCAGCCCAAAGGAATATAATCCAAATATAGAACGGATCCAACGTGAAGAAAAATGAATGCTGGATACACCTATGCAAGAGTGGGAAAATATATCCACATATGATGTTAGGCAAGCTCTAACGAAATCCCAAAAATGGAAATGCCTAGGAAATGACAAAGTGCACAATTTCTGGCTTTATCATCTCTCACCAATCCATAAAACCCTTACAAAATATCTATCAACGCTTGTAAATAATCCCGATGAAATCCCGGATTGGATCACTGAAGGCATTACATCTCATGCCAAAAACTTGTGAAACAGATGATCCGAAAAATTATAGGTCAATAACATGTCTCTCCACCATGTATAAATTGATCACGTCTGTCCTGACGAACCGAACTTACTCTTTCTTCGAAACAAACAACATTCTTCCACTGGAACAAAAGGGATGCAGAAGTTCATATGTCTGCAAAGATCAACTATTGATAAACAAAATGATCCTGAAAAATTGCAGGAAAGATGTAGAAATCTTAGCGCAGCGTGGATTGATTATCGTAAAGCCTTTGATAGTGTGCCACACTCTTGGATCCTTAATACTTTGGAAATGTACAAATTCTCCCCTGTGGTAGTAAATTTCCTTAAGCACAGCATGGGAATGTGGAACAATACACTATAAGTAAATCACACCAAAGACACTGCCAACCGTCTGAATATCCGACGTGGAATCTTTTAAGGAGACTCCCTTTCACCCCTTCTGTTTTGTTTGTCCTTAATCTCCCTTACGCATGAACTAAACAACAGTAGATATGGTTACAAACTAGACAAAATATATTCAATCACCTATTCTACATGGATGATCTCAAACTCTTTGACTAAAACGACAATGAGTTGAAAGGCCCCCTCAATATTGTAAAATGTTTCAGTGACGACATAGGCATGGAGTTTGAATTAGATAAATGTGCAAAAAGTAACATTCAAGAAAGGGGGAATTATACAAACAACCTCAATAGATTTAGACTTTGTCACAAATATTAGGGAACTAGAACAAGATGAAGCCTATAAGTACTTAGGAATTAGCGAAGGAGATGGCATACAACACCCCCAAATGAAGGAGAAGGTAAGAAAGGAGTACTACAGGAGGGTATGTCTGGTACTAAATACCCAGCTAAAATAAAAAAAAAACAGAATATCAGCCATAAACACCCTGTCTGTCCCTGTGGTGCAATACAGCTTTAACATCCTTAACTGGACCATTGCTGACATTAAGAGAATGGACGCCAAAAGCGAGAAAGCTTCTTTCTTGCTACCGCATGCATCATCCCAAACCTGATGTTGATCGTCTGTATGTGCCCAGATCCGTAGAGGATTAGTTCAACTAGAACTGTCCTACAAAACTACAAAATTGACCTTTAAAGATACCTGGAAACCACAGAAAACTGGATGATATGTGTCAAAGAACATTACATATTATAATAAGTAAGCGTCTTTATTCCTTAATAAAAGAAGTCAACAAGTTCAAAATAGAGTTTCAAATGCATTCAGCAATACAAGTAAAGCACAATACACGGATTGAAGCCTCAAAAGACATAAAAAAGACAGCAAAAGCAAATGCGACCGATTAGATACAGAAACAATGGCAAGATAAACCGCTTCATGCCCAATACTCTTGCCGTACCAAACAAGCTGCTGTAGGCAAGCCCAGTCCCCACCAGTGGCTACGTAGTGCAGGGTTAAACGGAAGGTTTTATCCTTGCTGCACACGATCAGTGCTTGTTAACTCGAAATTATCAAGCACACATACTAAAATATAGTGTTAGCCCAAAATGCAGGTTCTGTGATAATTACCCAGAAACGATTAACCATCTTGTATCAGGTTGCACGATATTGGCACCCACTGAATATAAAACCCGGCATGACAGAGTGGATCAATATCTGCACTGGAAAATCTGCAACTTCTACGGGAAGGAAACTGAAAGAAACTGGTATGAACACCACCCAGACTTGGTTACGGAGATAGGACCTGTTAAAATCTTATGGGACTACACAATACACCCAAGCAGAACAATCAAAGCCAACCGCCCAGACATTGTTATTAGAGACCGGAAACAAAAAAGTGCTTCCTTATTGATATGGCAGTCGCTGCAAGTTACAATGTATCTTTGAAGATCTTCAAAAAGTTATCAAAATACAAGGACCTTGAAATCGAAATCTCAAAAATGTGGCACATGGGAACATCAGCAATCCTTGTTGTAGTTGGAGCCCTCGGATTGGTTTGAAAAAATTCCAATAGACTAATTGAAGGGATTCCTGGAAGCCTATGCCTTAAAGAAATACAAAAAAAATTGTACCCACGAGTAGAGTCCACACCTTACGAAGGGCTCTGTCTATGCAAAATATTTTTTTCCAGTGGAAAATGACATGATGCCATTTCTAACTTTAGGTCCCGGGGTGGGATCCGAAAAGAAATGAGTACACATCAGACATCAAAGGAAGTAAAATAATAAAAATGAGAAGAAAAGTGGAGTAATAATAATAATTATAAGAAGAAGAAGAAGAAGTAAGGGCCAATAATGATAATGAGAAGAAGACTAAGGGGAGCAATCATAATAATAATAAGAATAAGAAGAAGAAAAAGAAAGAAAGAAAGAAAGAAAGAAGGGGAGCAGTAGTAATAATAATAATTATAAGAAGAAAAAGAAGAAGAAGAAGAAGAAGAAGAAGAAGAAGAAGGAGAAGAAGAAAATAAGAAAGAAGAAGGGGAGCAGTAATAATAATAACAATAACAATAATAATAATAAGAAGAAGAAGAAGAAGAAGTAGGGGCCAATAATGATAATGAGAAGAAGAATAAGGGGATCAATAATAATAATAAGAAGAAGAAAAAGAAAGAAAGAAAAAAAAGAAAGAAAGAAGGGGAGCAGTAATAATAATAATAAGAAGAAGAAAGAAGAAAGGGAGCAGTAATAATAATAATAATAATAATAATAATAAGAGGAAGAAGAAGAAGAAGAAGAAGAAAAATAAGGGGAGCAATAATAATAATAATAAGAAGAAGAAGAAGAAAGAAAGAAAGAAGGGGAGCAGTAGTAATAATAATAATTATAAGAAGAAGAAGAAGAAGAAGGAGAAGAAGAAAATAAGAAAGAAGAAGGGGAGCAGTAACAATAATAATAATAATAATAATAATAAGAAGAAGAAGAAGAAGAAGAAGAAGAAGAAAAATGAGGGGAGCAATAATAATAATAATAATAAGAAGAAGAAGAAGAAGAAGAACAACAACAACAACCGCAACCCAACAACAACAACAAAATGAAAGATAGAAAAGAGAGCAAAAAGATAAGATTGATGGAAAATTCAAAAAGAAATGGAGAACAGAAAAAGGTCACGACCAAAATCAATTAAAGAAAACTAAGTAAAAAAAATAGGCTGATTTTTTTTTATAAATGCAATAAAACACAAATACCATATTTTTCTCCTTCTTTCTCGTTTCTTCTTTTCTTATTTTAATCTTTGCTTTTCACATTTTCATCCTTTTCCTATTTTCTTTCATGACTAGTCCCAAAATTCTGTTTCTCGTTTCAAATGACCTTTTCGTAACCGCACCTATTTCATTTTCGTTTTAATTATTACTATTTATCTGTATGATTTATCATAGATTTTTTTTCTGCACCAATTTCTATTCGTTTTTTGACATTTTTGATTCCATATTTATCGCTGCGCCTTTTTTTTGTGGGAGTTTCTCAGAGTCATGTTTACCAATTCTTTATTTCATCATCTTCAGAGTTTCCATATGGCCACACTTCGTCCTTTCGCTCTATCGGAAATTTTTGTTGAAATGATAAAATTAATAAAAAAATGTAATTATCGTTTGGTCCTAACAATTCTGTCATCTTTCAGGCACCTTTAAAATTCCATTCTTCCCGAACCTTTTCAGTCGTTGATCTTTCTGTATATTGAATCAATTGCTAACTCTACAACTAGGAAATTTATTCCAATATCACGTGCAAGATTATATCTTCCATATCTATAAGTCTACCATTCGTCCATGCTTTGTGTTATGTAGAATGACGACCGACCTTCTCTATACTAACTGCTAAACACAGACTCTTTCATTCACTATGAGAAAGACGAGGAAAAGCAACACAACGTGGGCCGCAACGCATAGCGTTGAGTCGCACGCATTGCTGCACTGAATCACTTCTGCCATCTTTCAGGCACCTTTAAGATACCATTCTTCCCAAACCTTTCCGGCCTTTGATCTTTCTGATCAAAGAAAATGTTCATCGTGAATAACAGGCGACCTTTCTCACTATTAGTGTAAAATACCGTTTTCTTAATCCCTGATTTCATTCGTTCTAGGAGAATAACTCATTGCTCCTTCGCAGAAGAAAAGTTCTCCGCTGACATGGAGTGGAAAGATTATATTGAATCCATTGCTAGATCTGCTGCCAAAAATGTTGATTCACTGTGTCATGCTAGACAATTTTTCTCTCTGGAATCTATCTCATATATTTATAAGCCTATCATTTGTCTTAGCGTTGCTTAGAACGATCGATTATCTCTATATTAATTGATGAACATAGACTCTTCCATTCACTATGAGTAGGAGGTGTTCTGACAGGAACAATGTTGCAAAGTGACTCGCAACGCATAGCGTTGAGTCGCACGCATTGCCGCACTGAACTACGGTATTCGCTAATATTATATTATTAATCCACGTCCCTC